TTTAAGTTATCTATATAGAATTGCTCTCTATCCAGTAATATTGAAATAGGACAATATTCTAAAATCTCTAACCTAAATCCCACATAACCATGTTTTAATAGTGCATTACAAATAAGAGATGCACCTCGCTGACTGCTTGATAAATAGCTATGATTAAAATAGCGTCTAAATCTATCATTCAGCTTATAAGAAGAACCTACATAACTTTTTCCAGAATCTTTATGAACTCAACGGTAAATACCTGATTTACCTTTATTTTGTTTAGCTATCAATCCTTTATGCTCATCGGGATTAGTATAGATTAGAACAGGTTCAATTTCAGATGAAGTAGCTGTATTACTTAAGCATCTTTTCCCTATAAAAGGAGTATTACTTATAAAAGTGGATGTAAGACCCATTCGTATTTGACTGTTAATTCTATGAAACCTTTTTGGAGTATAATTAATTGGTTTTAAACTTAATTTCTCTTCCATACCAGAAGGATAAGTTTTAATGAAAGGTAAATAATTTAGTGAATTGTGAACAAATACATGAATCACAAATTTACCTTCAAGTTAGTGTAAATTTTGGAATAATCATACTGTATATATAAACTTTGTCCCCTTATTTAAAGGTGTTTATATACTTTATCCTTTCTTTAAATTATTACAGTATGATTTTACATCTTACGAAATTGCCGATTATATCTTTATTTTCCTTTTCAATTCCCTCTTTATTCTCAACTATTATGTCGATAGAGGAAATAAAAACAAAAAGGAGAAATATTATAAAATGAGGATAGGCTATTGTGATAACTTTAATCTTAGGTTACTTAATTTCGCCCAAGAACCGGCTTTCCCGGCGACTAGAGTACACCTTACCATTGGTTTTACCTAATGGAAGAACCGTCTACTCGTTGCTCTTTTACAGATAGTTCATTATCTATTTTAGATCCGCGATCACCCATTTCTATTACTAGAATCTCTAATGATGTTACTATACCCTCAATCATTAATGAGGCCAGGTAAGAAGTTTCCGTCTTACCTTTAGTTATTAGAGCTTTAGGGCTTCCCCGGAGTTTGGCTCTTTTACACAGTAAGAATGAGGCACCTAGTCTCATCTTTTTATGTTGGCTGCTAATCTTAATCCTAAAGACACATTCCTTGCTAAGTATGAGATGAATTCAATTAATACAAGTAAAGGTAATAATCCTAATGGACAACCAGCTGGAACAAATAAAGAAAAGAATTTTAATCCGTGTTCTTTGAATCCTAAAACTGTTGCACCTAATACAACAGTAAAACTAAGTGAGAATGTTAATATAAAATGAGATGTTGAGGCAAAACTATAAGGACTTCTTGATAGACATATAGACATATCAAGCCGGACTATATCTTGACTGCTCTATTTAGTAATATGAGCAGCCTTTTACGTGTAGTCTCTGAGGACCCTCTAGTATACACTATTCTTTTTGTCTAAAGTATTAGTAATATCTGTTGGTTTCCTGCTGATTTTTCATTGTTTTATCTTTAGAGTTGTTACGTCTTTTAATAAATTCTACAGCCATTGTTAAATTTATTATTCATGATCGTATCTAAAGCATTAGAAATTTTCAGCATATAGTAAAATTTTACATATTATATTACCAATTATAATAAAGCGTAATTAAAAACAAAATATAAGAGTTAGACTATTTTATATATAAGACGTTTAGTTAATGTATTCTTTTACTGTTCATATTACTTTTAATTCTTTTTATATTTTCTATACCCTGCTTTGTTAAATGATCCTTAGATTTTATTAACTCGGCTACTTGACAAAAATCTCTCCTGCGGAGCTCCGCAGGAGCTCTAAGGAGCTCCCTAACTTTTTTTTTACATATATTATGATATATTAAAAAAA